TAGTTACAATCAATTTTTTTTAACTTAATACAAATAATTTAAAATATAATTGTACTAACCGTATCAGCATCCGAGATGTCATCAACAGGTCGGCTGTCACTCAGTATATGTGGGTGCGAGTGCCCAATGTACCACGTCATGTAATCCTCACCAAACTCCCATGGCCTACGTCGTATCGGAGCAGAAAAAAGGTCCAGATGCACACTATGCGCCCCCAAGTTGTTCCAATACGAATCATAGACAGACTGGTAGCTAAGATGGTATCCAAGCGTGGAAGCAGGTCGACGCACAACAAGCGGACGCTCCAGTGGATACGGTACACCCTGCACGTAGCCTAACTGTCGGAGGCACCTAGTGGGATCATAATATTCTGCTATCTCTGCAAATCTGAGCAGGCCCTGATACAAGGTACGTCTCACCGTCAGATGAGGACTATGACCATACGGAGTCCAACTAACTGACTGAGGGGTCAAACTATCAATCGCCTGCCGATAATAAACCAGCATCTGTGCATCCCTCTTCTTACTCGATCGGGGTGCTGTACCGTGCCACCTGAATGCTCCTGCCTGCCCCCGCTCCAGCTCTCGTGGCTCCAACCGACTAGGCCTCAAAGTAGGAAAGTGGTCGTAAATCCAACACTGTAGTAAAGTCAGACAACCCGCCACTCCCTTAGCCTCCGCCCGGGAGGCAATACCAAGATGCCTGTACAGATAAGCAAGTGCTCCTGCCTCCCACGCATACTCTCCTACCATATCCGGCCTCTTCACAAACAAGTTCACAACAGCAGAAACGCGGTCCTTACTCTTATCTACGAACAGTGTCGACCCAAGCAGCAAAAGAAGGTAACACTGAGCCTCTCTAGCTGGCGGACCAGACTGCTGCAAATGAGTCAAAGCTCCCACACCCAACAAACCAAATCCTCTGTACCACCTAGACAGACTAGCAACCTCGCCAACCTGCGCCCCGTACTCATCCTCGTCACGATCTAATCCCAGTAGTGCTCGGATGTCAGCCTCCAGTGCAAACTTCTCCAACTGCCTCGGATCCACTACCATCGCCTCTCCGTCAACCGCAAGCCCAAGAATGTGTGCCACGTCGTGAAGGAGGATCGTCATCTCTCCAAACGGCATGTGGAAGGTGTTAGTATCCGGCTGCCACCTCTCCACAAATGCCGAGATGAGAGCAGGGTCCAACTCGCTCTGGAAGGTGATATCAACGAGGTGACCAAGGCCCGATGTCTCTACGGTAGTCCTAGCGTTATCATCTGCTATCTGATAACCGCCGAGAACGTGACAAAGGGTCGCACTCCTGTCGTAGCAAGTGATCACCCCTCTATCAGCCTCTCCCGTGTACAATACTGGGACCAGCTCCACTACCACCCATACTCCTCCGACTCGTCGTCAATCTCGTCTGAAGGCTCAAACGGTGAAGTATGATGATCAATACTGGGACCAGCTCCACTACCACCCATACTAGGCAACGGAAAATCAAACTGAGGGAAACCGTCTGCCCTATATCTCATCGGTGTCACCTGTGGCTGTGGCTGTGGCTCATCTCTAACATTTGGGTCCTTATTTCTCGCACTAGCGCTAATGTTACGCCCAAGGAATCTTTTCAATCTCTTTCCTGGTCCTCCAGAACTACGTGATCCTCCAGAATTACCAGATGACGCCATCTCTAAACATAGACAATAATTTTCTATTAATATCTTATTGGAAATTATTTGTTGAGCAATTACTTGTTGTTTCATAGAGTAATTATGATACATACAATTTGTTATCTACTTAATATTTCGTTTGATGTTATCTACTTAATTTAATTAATCTGTTATAATAAATTATTAGATTAGCAAAAAAAAAAAATACCTCAACGCCGACGACTGGAACAGCGGCGGCTTCGGCTTCTCCTGGGCGGCGACTGCGAGCAGAGGGGGGAGGCGTCGGCGAGCAGAGGGGGAAGGCGGCGGTGAGCAGAGGAGGGGGAAGGCGGCGGCTTGAGGAGGGGGAAGGCGGCGGCGGCTTGCGGAGGAGGGGGAAGGGGTTGCAGGTGGGGTGGGGGTGGGGGTGCAGCGGCAGGAGGGGTGGGGTGGGGGTGGGTGGGTGGATAGATAGGGTTAGGGACAGGGGCAAATTCGTCTTTTTTGTCCTAACTATGGGCGGCAAATAGTAAAACGACGGGCGGCAAATAGCGATTCATTATTTTTAATGGATTGATGGATTGGATTGGTGGATTGGATTGGAATTGCCACCTCTAACTGTATCATTTATCGTGGAAAAGAAAAACTGCATGGCTAAGTTGCAAGTTTGGTCACTTGAATTACTAGTAAAATTCACGTTAGCCACTAGAATTACTTTATTCCATCTGTAGTCACTTAAATTAGGTTAACAATCCAAGTTTGGTCATTGTCCGTTAGTCTCCGTTAACTTTTGCTGATGTGGCGATCAACTGAGTGACGTGGCAATTAAAAAATTAATAAGAAAATAAATTTTAAATTTTGTAATTTCCAACTCATTTTTACACTCATTGACAAAAAAAAAAAAGAAAAACTTAATGTCTGATCAATTTTTTTCACCTTCCTTTCCCTTTCCTTTGCTCATGGACGAAACGAATCGCTGATTCACAGAAATGCTAGCGTTATAATCATCCCCTTTTTGTTGCCCTATTTTGAAAAACAAAACGCCAGCTGCAGCCAAAAAATTCCCACGCCCATGACAATGCTCAGGCACAATAAAAGCAAAAACAACAGCAGCATGAGAAGAAGACACATCACCATGCCAATTCAATTGAATTTTGACCGTCCAGAAACAATGTCTCAACTCCCACGAAACAATTTAGAGACGCTCAGGAATTAAGAACAATCGAGTTTGTAGAAACCGAGCAACCTCCGACAGAGCATAATAGAAGAAAAACCCCAAGAGAGAGAAAGACAACGACCAGTGCAACGACTCACAAATTCCATTACCGGAATTCTTCGTGGGAGAAATGCACGCTTCCACTGCGGAGCTTCACCGCCAGTACGGCGCGCACAAAAAGAAAGTACAACAGAAGAAGTGCACATCGAGAATTTTTGGTCTCGACGAATTGACAAAATGGACTGGAAGAAAGACAGAAAAAAGAGGTGACAGCAGATCGAGGAGTAGTGTCGTGGTTTTCATTGAGAAGAAAATCAAAAACGGAATTGGGATAGAAATGGAGGTGGTGATGAGTTTGGTGAGCCGCCGCTGTCGCTGTTGGTCACTCCAGTCGATGATGAGATGACTCCCGCCGCTGATCGCAATGGTCATCGTGGCGGCCACAGCTCAGCTGTTAATCACCTACTCTCGCCTCATTTCCCGCTACCTCCTCCTCTTCCTATGCCGCTACCGTCGCAGGCGCGACCGTCGACGGAGATCCTACCTGCCGAATTCCCCGCCGTCCACCAACGGAGCCGGCGATTAACTCGACTCGCCACCGTCGCTCTTCGACTCCCCCGACGGATTCCACCACATCTACGTCGGCGCCTTTCCCTACGATCTCGACGATTCAGTGATCAAGACGATTCCAATCTTCCTCTAAAGCAGCAACTGCGACGGCTTCCGTAAATTGCCCTCCCCTGCCGCCGCCTGCAGAGACTGCTGTCTGCTACAATTCGAAGACGGAGATTACGTCCGCAAGCTTCCCGTCTACTCCCACGCCTTCCACGTCGATTGCATCGACATCTGAGTTAGGTCTCACGCCAACTGCTCGCTCTCATGGCGGCGCGATTCGGCCCAGCCTCATTGACGGGCGCTCCAATGCGCTATCAAGTCTTTCAAGTAGAGAACTTTTGGAGTTCGATTTCCCCATCCCCGGTGGGTCGTGGAGGAGGTAGCTCCGCTTCCAGATGCGGCCGGAGGCAAGGGAAGTTGGGTGGTTGGACCAGGAGAGAGGGGCGGAGAGGAATCGGTTATGAGGTGATGGTTGGGATCGGGGTGAGGATGATGTCGTGGGAAGGGTTGGAGCCGGAGAAGAGGTTGGTGGCAGCGAAGGAATCAGAGTTTTGGAGGACGCGGGTAGTAGAATTGCGACGCCTGTGAAATTAGCGGCGGAGACGATGAGCACGATGACGGCGGAAATAATAATTAAAGATATTTGGATTTTTTTTAATTTATAATAATTAGATGGAAAATAAGAAATAATTTATTTTATTATTTTTTTAATTGTCACGTCACTCATTTAACGGTCAACTATAATAGTTGACCGCCACATCAGCAAAAGTTAACGAAGACTAACGGCCAGTGACTAAACTTGAACTGTTAACCTAATTTAAGTGACTACGGATGGAATAAAATAATTCTAGTGAAATTTACTAGTAAATCAAGTGACCAAACTTGCAATTGAGCCAAAACTGCATCCACCATTTAAAATTCTTTGCGCTTAGAGTGATTTGCGGGAGCTGAGGTGGCTGGACATTTAGGCGGGGTTTCTTCTTCCCTTCGTGGAACCGCAATAGCCCTTCTCCCTTTACCTTTCCCCCACTATCCGCCTTTTCAAATCCTTCTTCTTTGCCCGCCGATCGATTCACTCAAAACCCATTTACTTTTTTCCCTTTCTGCATCGTGTACCAAGAACCCAGTTACTTTTCCCCCTCTACACCGATTTCAACTCTCGCTTCGCCCTCGATTCCTGGGTGTGCAAACAACAACGCTTTCAAGATGGATAAGAGTTTATGGATTATGGCGCTGTAGCTTCTCTTCTCTTGGGTCTGAAGGAGAGCGGTGGAATTAAAAAAGGCTGCAGGGTCCAAATTGGTTTGTGGGATCGAGGAGTCGAGGTTGTCTGAACTAGGCAATCCGCCATTTCATCTTCCCGCCACACTGATTTCAAGATGAGTTTATGGGTTCTGGCCAGGCATATCGATTCCAGGTAATAGATATCGGACGGAGGTAAATGGGTTTCGAAGATATTGATGGACTGGGATAACACCAATTCGGATCTGGGCAACGACGAGGAGGAAGGAAGCTTCGACCTTGACCTCAAAGATGGCGTTGGTCCAATCCCTTTCCGACGAGAGCTTGCTTCAAACCGCGCCTTGTGGTTTCTTGGTCACGCCTCTCAAGCCTGACCGCACTATCATCTACGTCAATACCGTATTTGAGAAGATTACTTGGTATCGTGTTGAGGAGGTGAGGTGCTCGGCCGCAACTGGTACATCTTTTCTATCCCTTTGTTTTTGCTAATTCGGAGTTGTAAATTTTGGTTTAGTTCCTCGATTTCGCCCTGTTCGTAGGATGGGGTGCGATATTGTTCTTGTTGTGCCCTCCTCATGTGGCAGAGAAGCAGCCAACAAGGTTGGGTGGTAATTGAGAAAAATAATAAAAAACAATAATGGTAAGATGCAGGTGGCAAATGCAGTTGGATGGTGCATGGATTAGCTCCCCAACCATTCCAATTGAATATGTCCCCTCCATTTTGTGCTATAAAAGGGATGCCTAGTTCCCTTCTGAAACCATCCCTCACCATTCCATCATTCTCCATTTCCTTTGCTCTGCTTCTGTTCGTATTTCTTTTGTGGGTTTTGGTAGTGAAACGTTTTCACTACCACGGGTAGATAGGAGATTTCCTTGTGAGTGAAATAGTGAGGTTGTTTGGGAAACACCGTGTGTTCTATTTCTTGTATCGAGAAAATCTCTGTAACCTACCATTGTTATAGTAAAGAAATACTCCGGAGCTGTTGTTCCCGTGGACTGGCCCAAAATCAGGGTATACCACGTAAATCCTCGGTGTCATTTATTATTGTCTATGCTTGTTGCTATTTTGAGAATAGTCGTAGTATATTGCATTATCAAATTACCGAAGTAAATTGATCTAAGTAAGTTGGTTACCGTAATTCTGGAGGCTCTGCCACCAGGTCCAACTTACCTGTGAACTTTTTACAAGCGTGTGATTTATTAGTGCAATATATTTACCCGCTATTCTCACCCGCTTCGCCCAACAAGTGGTATCAGAGCCACGTCCAATGGAGGCAAAAACAAGCAAGATGATAAGTTTGAATGGCTCAAACTATCACATATGGAGAAACAAGATGAAGGATCTCCTACTCGTGACGGATTTGCATTTGCCGGTGTTTAGCCCAACTAAACCTGATGGCAAAACTGAAGAGGAATGGGAGTTCAAGCATGAGCAAGTATGTGGCTACATTCGACAGTTCGTCGACGATAATGTATAAAACCACATTAGCGGATAAACTCATGCCAGAACTCTGTGGAACAAGCTGGAGGCACTCTATGCATCAAAGACCGGCAACAACAAATTATTTTATCTGACCAAGTTGGTCCAGATGAAATACAAGGAAGGCAAATCCTTGGCGGATCACTTGAACGAAATTCAAGGGATCGTGGATCAGTTGTCCGGTATGGGCATAAAAATGGAAGATGAGGTGGTCGCTCTCCTCGTTCTGGCTTCCCTTCCAGAATCTTGGGAGACGCTAAAAATTTCACTTACCAACTCTGCGAAAGATGGAGTTATCAACATGGAGATCGTCAAAAGTGGGGTTCTCAATGAAGAGATGAGGAAAAGATCACAAGGTGCATCCTCATCATCTTCCCAGTCAGACCTTTTGGCGGTGGATTCCAGAAGCAGAGGAAGAAGTGAAGCGAGAGGCTCGAAGCAAAGAGGCAAGAGTCGAGGGAAGTCCAACAAGTTTGCCAACATCAATTGTCATCACTGCAAGGAAAAGGGCCACATCAGAAGATTTTGCCCAAAGTTCAGAAACGAGAGAAGGAAGGGCAAACGAGAGGAGAACAGTGATGATGATGGTGCAAACTCAATTGATGAGTTCAATATTGTCTACGAGGAAGATGTTGTCAACCTGACAACCCAGGAGACAAGCTGGGTGGTTGATAGTGGTGCTACCATCCACGTGACGTTCAAGAGAGAATTTTTCTCATCTTACACACCAGGTGACTTAGGTGTGGTAAGAATGGGAAATGGTAATCTTTCCAAAGTTATCGGAAAAGGAGAAGTCTGCTTGGAGACGATGAATGGTACGAAGCTACTGCTGAAGGATGTCAGGCATGTTCCAGAAATGCGTCTGAATCTCATCTCTGTAGACAAGTTGGACGAGGAAGGTTACTGCAACACCTTCCACAATGGCCAATGGAAACTCACCAGAGGCTCCTTGGTGTTGGCCAAGGGCAAGAAGCTGTCAAAGCTGTATGTGACGGAAGCCAAGATCTCCCCAGAGATTGTCAACTCAGTAGAGAATGGTGATACAATTGAATTGTGGCACAAATGGCTCGGTCACATGAGTGAGAAGTCCATGGCAAAGTTGGCCCAGAAGAAGGTCATAGTTGGGTTGGATCATGTTCATCTAAAGAAGTGTGTCGATTTCCTTGCGGGAAAGCAAAACCGAGTTGCTTTCAAAAGTTCCATCCCTTCAAGAGCAAAGAACGTGTTGGATCTAGTTCACTCAGATCTCTGTGAACCCGATGTCAAAGTCAAATCACTTGGAGGTGCCCGATATTTCGTGACATTCATTGATGACCATTCACGGAAGACTTGGGTGTATACCTTGAAGACCAAGGATCAGGCCCTAGACGTTTTCAAGCAATTCCTGGCCCTGGTGGAGAGGGAGACGGGCAAGAAGCTGAAGTGCATCCCGACTGACAATGGTGGAGAGTACAGAAGTCCGTTTGCTACCTTTTGCAAGGAACATGGAATTCGGCAGCAATTCACTCCACCAAAGACGCCGCAATTGAATGGGCTAGCTGAGAGGATGAACAGGACCCTGCTAGAGAGAGTCAGGTGCTTGTTATCACACTCGAAGCTACCACAATCTTTCTGGGGGGAGGCACTGCTTGCAGCAGTTTATGTGTGGAAAAGGTCACCCAGTGTGCCACTGAAGTATGACGCCCCAGAGAAGGTGTGGACAGGAAAAGAAGTTTCCTACAAACATTTGCGGGTGTTTGGTTGCAAGGCCTTTGTCCATATTCCAAAGGATGAAAGGTCAAAGTTGGCTTCAAAGTGATCCAATCCAGAAGAAGCTTATCAGAAGTCGTGATGCTGTGTTCATCGAGAATGAGACCATCGAAGATGTTATTGCTAGGAAAGAAATTCCTAGTACTGATGCTAGTCAGCCAAACCTTGAGATAGTGCCTCCAACACCAGCGCCTACAGAAGTTGGAGAAGAAGCACAACATGATCAGCCTGAGATAGTTGAACTAGATGCCCATGTGGAGGTTCAACCACAAGATACTGATGACGATGGTCAACCACCAGCAATAGAAGGTTCCCTGTTCGAACAACAAGATCTGGTAGAATTTCACGACCGTCTACCAGATATCCCGAGACTGAATACGTCTCACTTACTGACGGCGGAGAACCAGAAAGCTTCACAGAAGCTATGAATGATGAACACAAGCAAAGGTGGATAGAAGCCATGCAAGACGAGATGGATTCCTTGTATGAGAACAACACATTTGAGCTGGTGAAGTTGCCAAAAGGCAAGAGAGCTTTGAAGAACAAGTGGGTGTTCAAGATCAAACATGATGAACATAACCGTCAGCCACGCTTCAAAGCCAAACTAGTTGTGAAAGGCTTCAGTCAAAGGAAAGGCATTGACTTTTACGAGATATTTTCACCTGTGGTGAAAATGACATCCATTCGTACTGTGCTGGGACTAGCAGCAAGTCTTAACCTGGAGGTTGAGCAAATGGATGTGAAGACTGCCTTCCTTCATGGTGATTTGGAGGAAGATATTTACATGGAGCAACAAGAAGGCTTCAAGAAGAAGAACAAGGAGGGATATGTGTGCAGGCTCAGAAAGAGCTTGTATGGCTTGAAGCAGGCACCAAGGCAGTGGTATAAGAAGTTTGAGTATGTTATGGGGGAGCAAGGCTACAAGAAGACTACTTCAGACCACTGCGTGTTCGTGAAGAAATTTCCTGATGGAGATTTCATCATACTTTTGCTCTATGTGGATGATATGCTAATTGCTGGGCAGAATGTCTCAAAGATCAATGATTTGAAGAAGGAGTTGAGCAAGTCTTTTGCCATGAAAGACTTGGAACCAGCAAAGCAGATTCTTGGTGTGAGGATCATTCGGGATCGAGGTGCCAAGAATATATGGTTGTCACAAGAAAAGTACATTGAGAAAGTACTTCAACATGGATAATGCTAAGGCAGTTAGCTTTCCTCTTGCTAACCAATTTACATTGACATCCAAACAGAGCCCGTCTACTGAGAAGGAAATGGCAGAGATGGATAAAATTCCATATGCTTCAGCAGTGGGAAGTTTGATGTACGCCATGGTGTGTACAAGGCCAGATATTGCTCATGCAGTTGGAGTTGTCAGTCGGTTTCTTTCCAAACCAGGAAAGGAACATTGGGAAGCTGTGAAGTGGATCCTCAGATACCTTCGAGGTAGCTCCAAAATGAGTCTATGTTTTGGAGATGGTGAATCTGTCCTTGTTGGCTATACAGATGCTGACATGGCAGGCGATGTTGATTCGAGGAGGTCCACTTCTGGGTACCTGATTACCTTATCAGGGGGAGCAATATCGTGGCAGTCAAGGCTACAAAAGTGTGTAGCTCTTTCCACAACAGAAGCTGAGTATATAGCAGTAACGGAAGCATGCAAGGAGATGATATGGATGAAGAAGTTCCTGAATGAATTTGGGTTCATACAGGAACAACCGCAGCTGTTCTGTGACAGTCAGAGTGCTATTCATCTTGCGAAGAATGCTTCATTTCATGCTCGCTCAAAACATATCGATGTTCGATATCACTGGATACGAGATGTGCTTGAAATGAAGCAGTTACAACTAGAGAAGATTCATACTGACGAAAATGGATCTGACATGTGTACCAAGACTCTTCAAAGAGAAAAATTTGAGTTCTGTCGATCAGCTGCAGGGATGACGCCGCCGCCCATGTAGTCGGGCGGGGGAGAATTGTTGTGCCCTCCTCATGTGGCGGAGAAGCAGCCAACAAGGTTGGGTGGTAATTGAGAAAAATAATAAAAAACAACCATAATGGTAAGATGCAGGTGGCAAATGCAGTTGGATGGTGCATGGATTAGCTCCCCAACCATTCCAATTGAATATGTCCCCTCCATTTTGTGCTATAAAAGGGATGCCTAGTTCCCTTCTGAAACCATCCCTCACCGTTCCATCATTCTCCATTTCCTTTGCTCTGCTTCTGTTCGTATTTCTTTTGTGGGTTTTGGTAGTGAAACGTT